TTATAAAAGGAAGCACTGTTCACACAGAGCTATCATGAGTTCATTATGAAGTCATGACAGGTTTTAATTTTCTTCTTTATTACTGGAATTACAAACCTGCAAACTATGGACACATCGAAGTTATTAACAGTAATAGCTAGTACTTACTAAGCTCTTACTTTATGCCAAATATTATCTCATTTAATTTTCACACTAATACTGTGAGAAAAGATAGTATTATTGCCATTTTAAAATGAGGGATAAGAAGACTGATGCAATCTGTCCAAAATTTTGAATCTAATCAATCATGGGACAGAAAATGAAATTGAGAACTATCTACATACAGAGGTCTTATTTTTATAACCACTATGAATAATGCCTCATAAAAATACTCAGAAATATTAGATAGCCTCATAAATTCTTGTGAAAAAGAAAATGATGAACTGTACAATCTTTCAATCAGGCTATTTCAAACTTGGCTAAACATATATGCCCAAATCTTTAACTGATTAGTAGATCATTACCAATGGGGAGCAATGTTTCAAGTATCATGTCTCAAGATTTGAACACAAAATGTTTATAACATTGTTACTAGGGAACAACAAGATGTAATAGGTTTATAAATAATAACTCTACAAACAGCATAAATTTAGAGCTCTATCTTATTTTTTTTAGAAAACAGAGTAATGTAAAAGGACTCCAGATTTTTAAGGAAGAGCTTATATTTATGTTGAGACATAAAATAAATGAATGTAAGGTTTTAACATTGTTACGAAAACCAGTTTTGAACATATAAGTGAAAAACAATTAGCATGTCGTATTTAAAATATCAAATCAGTAGACAATGCAGAAGAAGCAACTCTTGAAGGAACCTGGGAACTTTTTATGGCAAGATTTTAAAATATGTTGATCCTCTGATTCACCAATCCAATTTTCAGAAATGATCCATGAGAAAAAATAACTAAGGATGTTTGAAAGTATTCAGCTGATTTATTTGTAACAGCCCAAACAAAAACCAAAATGTCCAATAAAATGGAAGCATTTAAACCAATGACAGAATCAATTAATGATAGAGCAACTATAAGTGACAATCTTCTTAATTTAAAGTGCCTCTGGTGACAAAAACCTGCCATAGAAAGATATTCACAACACAGTTAAATGAGTAATCATTATGAAAAGCATGCAAAATAGGATTTCACTTTTGTAAAAGAGAAAGGAAGGGATGAGGGAGGGAGAGAAGAAGGGAGGCAAAGAAAGAAAGAAAAGGAGATAGTAAAGAGGGAAGATACAGAAAGAAAACAAAAAAATATGAAAATGATATTCTTTTCACTGTGATCACTTTAATACATACATTATACTTATAGATGCACTCTATACATATAGGTCAACTCTATGCATATATAAAAGTACTTAATTAAAATATATTCATAAAATACTTATATTTTCTTCATGCAATGCTATACAATATTTTCCATTTTATATAATTCCATTTTCTTTTTAAAAAATGCTAGTCATTAAATTGACTTTGCAAACTAACAAAAGGTAGCATCCTGAAGTCTGAAAACAATGATCTAAAGAATATCTGCAAGGACAAATTATTAATAAAGCCTGTATTTGAGTACTATCTGAAATTTCCCTTATTTTCTAAAATTTTGAACAAATGAAAAATAAAAGAATATTTTATGCAAAAAATTTAGAAACTTTTTCAGAGATGATAATTTGAAATGATAACAATAGTTCATGTGAAAAATTACTAACAGTTCATGTGGAAAACATATAGGTCCATCTAATGGAACTCAATTCAAAATGAGACAACAATGTTTCTTGGATGCCAAAAAAACTAACTTAATCCTAGTCAGAATTAAAATGTGCAAACACACATGGAGGCACTACCTAAAACAAGTCCTGTGAGAACTCTTCTACCTTTTGTATACTTAGATCCTGTCTAGAGACTGTACTTTTTTGTGCATAGCACATTTCTTTTTTTTTTTTCAGAGAGAGAGAAATTTTTTTAATATTTATTTTTCAGTTTTCGGTGGCCACAACATCTTTATTTTATTTTTTTAATGTAGTGCTGAAGATCGAACCCAGCGCCCCGCACAGTGCACAGCACATTTCTAATGGAAAACAGCCAGAAGAAACACAGTATGGAAATTATATCATATGAAAAACAGTAAAAGAAACAAAGAAACTTTAGCCTGATGTCTTTTCAAAGAAATAAAAAAGGCTTTATTTAAATAATAGTCATAAAACAGAGTTAAGAACCAATGCATGCAGAAAAGTCATGAAAGGGGTAATTCTGGTTAGATTTTACCCTTATATAAAGATGAACTCTAATACTACTTAGCAATGGAATGCAATGCCACAAGTTGGAACAATGGACCCTCTTTATACCAACATTCCTTAAGACAATTTGACCTCTTATTTCAAGGAAGCATTTTGAATTCTGTGTATCTCTAAGCTCATAATATCCAGTTTGTAGCTCTCTGTCTCATCCTAGACATTTTCCTTGGGTTTTCTTACTATAGGTAACTAAACAGACAGGTTATCTCAGGAAGATAATAAAGTCTTCATTAGTAACAGTTTTCAGACACAGGAATAACCAAATAGCAAGGATACGATGAAAGAGAATTATATAATAGACTGTTGAATTAAACACCTAGTACTATATTTTTCTAAAATAAACACACTATGATTTTGTTTTATTAAAAATCTCCTTACTATAATAAAATATACATAATTTTATAAGTATAAAATTAGGATTCCTAAAAGAAAATTTAAAACATAATTCCTAAATAAAAATATTTTGGTTCTACTATAATTATTTGGAATTATAGATACTTGATAAAGATATACATGGATTTATATATATATATGTATATATAAACACACAAGTGTATATTAGCATATATTATTTTATTACCTTCTTTTTACACAAAAAGCATATTATAACATATTGTTCCACAACTTTTTTTTATTTTTTCTTCACATAATAAATCTTAATACATTTCAGTATTTAAACTGTTTCATCACCATTTGATACTGCTATACAGCATTCCATTTTATAGAAGCACCACTACTTATTTAACTATTCCCTAATCAATGTTTTAGGTTGTTTCTAACTTTTCCTATTATTATTAATTTTGAAAAAATAATCATATAAATACTTCATGCTTCATATATGAGAATACCTGTATAAATAGAAATGCTGTATTAAACGATACATGTGTTGGTAATTTTCACAAATATTAACGAATAGAACTACAAAGTACTGGTTCATTATATATCCACCAGAATATATGAGAGTCTTTGAATATCTTCAGTTTCAACAATGCAGAATTCAGCATTATTTTAATCTGAAAAGCCTCAAGTTTCAAGAGAGAAAGAAGGAAATGAAAGGATTTAAAGATGAGTTCCGGGCTGGGGGTATAGCTCAATGCCTAGCATGGTGAAAAGTTCCTGCCTTTGATTCCCAGCACAGAAAAATTAAAGAAGAAAACATAGATGCCCTGTGTATAAAATCCCATCTCCCTTAATAAAACTCAAGACCAAATTCTGTTAAGGTTGATAATGAAAGGAAAGTCTTTACATGAGGAAGAGTTACCTGGGCCTTAAACACAACTACCATTTCCTAAGATTTAATTTTCTCATTGGGAGTCCTACTAATTAGGGTTGACACACCACTGTGCTAGGTCACAGCAGGCACATTCCAAAAAATAAAAATAACAGGAATATTGCATTCTTCCCTTGATCCCTTCCTTAATTACCTCATAGTACAAAGGAGACAAAAATAAGAAACAGCTTGATATAACTTGAAAGCATTGTGGCATCCACTAGTGGTCACCTAAAATTCATTTTCCTTTCTTTTATAATAACCATTTTACTAAATAAGTGGTCACTCATATAGAGATTGTATTTCCAGACTTCTTGTATAGCTGTTATTGCCAAGTGAGAAAGTTCTAACCAATGGAATGTGAAATTTTGATGACAGGCATAAAAGAAAGTTGCTTACCTTTACTTTTGCACTTTATTTATTTTCTCAAATTAAAATGCAAACCCAGCAGTCACACAAATTTAACCTTGCAGACAAGGACATCAACCTAGGAGACTGCAGAGCAGTAAAGACTTGAGATTGATAACCTTGTGAAGATAAAAACTTTGGCAGACTGGACTTCTAGAAATGAGAATGAGAAACTTCTATCATATTTAACTGTGTCTTGTATCATATATACAAGACAGCCTTTACAGTTGTCTCTTTGATATAGCAACTTTATCTCTGTAAACACAAACATAGACACACAAACACATAGCTATATGCACACTGACGAGTGGCGATCATGGTATTAAGATAAAAACTTGCATGTATCATTTTGTCAAAATGAAGCAAAATACTATGTGTAATTATAATTCTCAAAAAAGAAAGAACGAACTTGAAGAATGCATTTTTAGGCAAAAAGATATAAAATTGTAAAAAATAAAGATAAGCACAATTAATAAACAGAAAGTATTAGAGAAATGACTAAAATAGAAAGTTGATATAAAAAACAATATTTCCTATGACTAAAAATTAAAATTGCATTGCTAAAGCATTAGAATAAAAAATATGCTGTAGTTCAGACATCCTGTTTTTTACTTAAAAGATTACTTTCACAGGAGAAAAGCATTACAATTTAAATATGATTAACCAGTATATATGGAAAACATCTAAATTCATTTAACTTTTCAGGGTTTACATAAGAAATTTGGAATATTAGCTTGAATTAAACAGTGACATATAACTTTATAAGAAAAGGTGTCAAAACTCATTCAGTAAACACTGAATATGTACTCTGAACTAGACATTGTACTGGACTCAGGAACACAAAGGTAAATACAATTCAATCCCTGTATGGGAGAAGATCACTAATAAATTTCATTAATTGTGCCAACATGTACACATAAAAGATTTAAAGTTCAACTGTGTCAAAATTACTTTTTTCCAACATTAATTATTTGAATAATTATATTTAAAATATACCCACCTAATCATACATATACAGTAGTCCCCCTTTCCTACAAGGGATATATTCCAAGACCTTCTTCAGGCACCTGTTTTTGTTGTGCATAAAAATAAATTTCAAAATTAAAAAGAAAATCAATATAATGGACACTCAACTTTACATATACTTTAAAATTCCCAGTATCTTGAAGACATTAAAGCATTGTTCCTGAAGTAAAACACCTAAGTTGCTTAGGCCTTTATACAAAAATCATCTCCAAAATAACAATAGTAAAATACTTTAACATGGCCACCAACCTCTTCCCTGATATTATGAATAAATTCATTCTGATTGTTTGAGGAAGAAAATATGGTCTAACACTTTCACATTATATTTCATTTAACATTTCACTTGAAGAGGGAATAATAAAATATCTTAAGGAGCTATTGTCTATCCAAAAATGACAAATATTTAATCCAAAGAAAAATAATCATATATAAATTAAATATTCAGCACATTCTGTCTAACTCAAACATTTTCTTTATTTTAATTAACTTTAATGTATTATACTCCTGGAATAACTAGCTGATACATTACACAAATTCTGCCAAAATTTTTATTCACTTAAAATAACTGAAGCGTACAAACCACTTCTGGACTATCCTGCCACTGTTATATGAAAGAGAAATAACTTTCTACTTTACTTAAATTCAGGTAAATGGCTTAATGATAGGACCCTTGCCCCACCTCCCAGAAAAGTACCAGAAATTACCATATGTATAAAAGATTACAATAAAATTATACCAAAAGTTAATACAACAACTAGTTATATAGATCATTTCAGAGCTTAACTCATGGATAAAGGTTTTGTACAATAAAAACAATATGGTTTAGGCCAAAAAATTATCACCAATACAGTTGAAATAAGATTAGAATGTAAGGTTAGAATACTACAGTTTTATATGCATTGTTCCTACAAATATAAAGCACTTCAAAGGGGCTTCAACATTAGTTTATGCAATCAGCTCCAAACTAAAGACAATAAGGCCTATATATTTTTTAAAAAATGTTAACACCAAGAAATATCATAGCTCAAAAATAGTAAAAGGATTATAATTAGAGTATAGCATTCAGTTTATTATTTAGGACTCACAAAAAATAACAAGATAGTTTTCACTCAAACTAAAGCCCCCTTCCCAATTGATAGTTATTTCTTAAAATAAAGAATGTAGGCAAAATCATATCAGTTTATCTAATTACCCTTCAACTTGACTCCAAGTTTTTCTATCAAGCTTAACTTTAAAGGTCCTTCTCATTTATATGATATTTTCCATTATTCTTTTATCTTTTCTCTCAATGTTCCAACATTATTACTGTTTGCAGCAAGTGGAAAGCTTTCTTAGGACAAAAGCATACTAAGCAGAGATAGTTAAGAACCATAAGCAATCCTGCTGGTTCTTCCCCATAGGAGATATGTGGTATAATGCAGATTGCTTGACTTTCTATAGAATCTCACAAAAATCTACAAATTCCTCCCTGCAGACCCAGCAACAAAACTATTTTCTTAACTGGCTCCTAGTCTATATATTGGTGTATTTTATGTAGCATTCTTCCAAAAAAAAATGGTGGTTCACTGCATACAAGTTATCTGAGGCTGAATAATTACTTGTACTTTTAAATTCTGCATATTCCTATGGCCAATAAAAGCCAAGAGAAATATAAGCTGTTCACAAGTAGCTCATAGTAATATGAGAGAACACTGACAATAAAGCAAATGGGATTACTGAATTACCATTTTTATAAAGTCTACTAGTGTCTCTATTTTATACTCAATTAAAAAATAAACAAAACCTTAATTTTGTAAGGACTTTTCCTATTCTAACTATATAGTAATATGAACTGGATTACTTTTTGCTCAGTTCATTCAGTGTTATACTTTTCCAAATGGTTCTTTAACCTTTCATACTTCCACTTCAAGACAATGATGTGAGACCTATTATCTCCTAACTCAAACGTGCACTTAATGGCCTCTCTACCAACACTAAGTTAATTCTCTAAATTAATTCTTCTCAATTCTAAATACAGATGTATCTTTATCTTTCAGCATATCAGTCATTTTATACAGAGTATCTACAATAATAAAGATTTTTGCATTTCACTTTAACAATATTTCGTTGGTTTTCATATTACTTCCATATTTCTATCCCTAATTTTTTGAAAAAGACAATCCATATATACTCTATTTACAAAATGTTTTGAGAATAACTTTACCATTAAATCAATTTTAAAAAGACAGACATTATTAGAGAGAGGGAGCATGGAAGGAATAGATGAACTCTAGGGCAAAGGGGTTGGAGGGAAAGGGAGGGGACATGGGGTTATAAATGAGGGTGGAATATGATGATTATTATTATCCAAAGTACTGTATGAAGACATGAATTGGTGTGAATATATTTTGTATACAACCAGAGATATGAAAAATTTTGCTCTATTTGTGTAATAAGAATTGTAATGCATTCCACTGTCATATATAAATAAATAAATAAGACAGACATTATTACCCTATTCACATATATGATTACACTACTGGTGTGACTCTACATCATGTTCAGAAAGAGGAAGAAGTTGTGTTCCATTTGTGTACAATATGTCAAAATGTATTCTAAGGTTATGTATAACTAATTAGAAAAAATTAAAAATAAAATTTTAAATATTTTAAGAATTAAAAAACAGAAAATAAATTTTAGTTCTGACTTCAACGATTTGTGAAAACAATTATTTACTCTAAATTAACTTCTGTTTATATAGATGGTGGCTGCATCAATTTGTTCAATTACTCAGTAAACTGTTTTGTGTTGATTTCTAAAGAATTTTGCAACAACCAAGAATAAATGCCCTGATAAAAACCATTCCTATAAAGAAATAAGTAATAACATTTTTAAGAATTAATATTTAAGAAAACATACTCAAAATAAAATAGAATTCACCTATAAGCAAACATTTTTCTTATGAGTTCTTTATAAAACAATGGCATTAAATGAACAGATTATTAAAAATTAGATTTTTTCAATGAAAAACATTCAGAAGAATCAATGTTTTTATAATAAAAATCCTAATATAGTCTAAATAGAATATACCCATAAGAACACATAATTTATTATTTCCAGTTCAATTATTCTTTTAATGAGATAAAATTAAAAGTATATAGATGAAAATTATGCTATTTATGCTTTACAGTGATTTTAGATATTCAAAGAATAATAAACTTATACCCATGAACACATATATATCCACAACCATACCTGAGAGGTGGGGAAGACAAAAACAGTATTATCTTAGAAGCTTTTTTAAATAGATAAGGAATTCACACTAAGAAGCTTTAAGTGATTTTATAGATTTTAATTAATGATATTTTGTGACTTACCAGAAATAATTTTAACAATTAATTAAATTTTATTTCATATTTTTAAACAAATCACCATAAAATCTAGGAAACAGATGTTAAAAGAAATTTTCCAAAGAAAAACATGTAATCTTAACAATCTACTTTTATACAAAGTAGTAGTATCTTTCCAATAAAAATCAAAACAGCTCAAATCCACATGCCTGAAAGGAATCAAAGACAAAATATTTTGTTCAATACTCTTGTCCAAAATACTATCCATCTTTTTCTATAAAGTGATAAATTGTATTGAAAAGAATATAATTACTAAACTCAAATGTGATTCAGATAGCCAATAAGATGTTTATAATATAATACTAAGAACTTATACTCTTGGGGTCAATAAAAAGTAAATTATTCATAAAAGATCAATACTTGTTTCATATAGCCATAACTATTAATATTGGCATAAAATACTCCATTTTGAATATAACAAAGGTAAAATGCTTCATGATAGAAAAATTTTAAACTGTACAGTAAGTCAATACTATTTCATTCCCTACATGCTATTTAGATCTCTGTCTCTATTTTCTCAAAGTATGTTTATAATTCTCAAGGTGCCCAATGATTCCTATTGAGGTTCATGACAACTTGATGAAAGGAGCCATGTATACTTTGTCTATGTGCAATTGCAATATATCCATTACAAAGTAAGGGGAAGCCGTCATAGCAGTTCTATATACACAAAGGATTTTTCAGGTTACAAAGAATAGGTAGAGAAAATTTCCAGGAATTAGCTATCAGGTAACTAAAGGAATGAAAGAAAGAAGGGAATGTAATCTCAAGAAAAGTCTTTTCACTAAGGTTACTCAACTGAAGAAGAAAGCTTGAAGAAAACAAACATATTCATTTAAAGATTTAATATTTGTGTAAATAAACGCACAATGACATAGAAATACTTAGGTTTATTATGGCCCAGTAGATGGTCTTTAGATAACATATTTTTCAACCAACAAAAATTATATTTATAGGGCTAGGGATAATATAGCTGGGTGGTAGAATGCTAGCCAAGCATCAGCAAGGTCCTGAGTTCAATCCACAGCACCATGAAAAAAAATAAAATAATAAAACTTAAAATACACAAGATGTTATCTATAAATTATGTTTAAAAAATTCAATTTCTGGTAGAATCTAAGAAATGAAAGAGAGAGAGACAGAAAGAAAAAAGGCCAGAAGGGAAAAAAAATGTCTAGGACATCTCTGGATAGTATGTTATAGGTGTTTTATTTCACTTTGTTTTTCTATTTTTCTATATAGCTCTAGGCTGTTTATATGTTCCCAAATGATGGTATGTTATTTTGATGTAAAAACACTATAAATGTAAACATTCTTTTTCAAAGAAAATATTCTCTGAAAGTCAAATTTAAATTAAGGTATTAAATCAAATAATCCTGTATTCTTAAAAAAAGTTGTACTTTTATAACTGAAAAATAACACAAACAAGTTGTAAACATATGATCTATATCATTTAGATCTTTCTATTCAAATTTCTTCCAATAGCAATAAACATTGGGTGCAATGGTGCACCCCTTATAATCACAGAAACTCAGAAGGCTGAGGCTGATGGATGGAAAGTTCAAGGCCAGACTTAGCAATATAGTGAGACCCTAAGCAACTTAGAAAGACTGCCTCAATATATACAATTAACACCCATGAATCAAATGGGT